AAGACCCAGAATGAGGATTTATTATCTTGAAGATAAGCTTTCCGAATGGGAGGTCAAATACATTTTCAATAATATGTGCTCTAACTGATACAAAAGAAAGGTTTTATGAAAATTGTTTCAATCGATATTGGATTTCCAAGAGGGAGAAATTTTGATAATTGGTGATATGAATGGAGTCATAGACCCTAACAAGAAGTAAAAAAAAAAAGTAAAAGGGAGTAAACCCCCCCCCCAAAAAACGTTTCTAACTATGTGCAAGTGCTACCCTTGGAAGCTGGATGAAGATTCCAAAACCCTAGAACAAGTGACTAGGGACCTTTTTTCCTGATAGACATCAGACATGCTCAAGGAATGATGTGCACTGTTTATCTAAAAAATATAATTATGAACTTAGAGGCTGTAAAGATCCAGCCCAAAATACTTTCTGAGCAGAATCCCCCTACCCCACACCACAAAAAAAGAATTGTCAACAAGAAAAATTGGAGGAAGAAGATGGGGATTGAATGGAAATCTTCTAGTCCAAGAAAATAATAGGAAGAAGTCAGAAAAAAACAGGGAGAATTCGTTAGACTAAGTAATACAAGTGATGTCTTGACAGCAAAAGTAAGGGAAGCCAAAAAAGCCTCAGTAAGAGGATTTTTTTTAAACAATAGCATCTAAAAACAGAAGAGGAACAATAATCAGAAGAAAGTAAAACAAAAAGTCCTGTAACAAATTCAAATACTAGAGGATCACCATTAAAACAAAAACAAAAATTAAGGTAAATCAATCTTAACTGGACACAGACAAATTTGAAACTAACGAGACATGATAGAGACAAGAGAGACACAAAGTACCGTATTTTTCTCTTTATAAGACACACCTGACCATAAGACACACCTAGTTTTTAGAGGAGGAAAACAAGAAAAAAAATATTCTGAATCAAATGGGTACATAATCACAGGCACATTCCCCATCTCTTCCCCATTGGCTGCACATCTGACAGACTTGCTGCACGCACATATTCGCTCTATAAGATGCACACACATTTCCCCTTACTTCTGAGGGGGGGAAAGTGTGTCTTATAGAGCAAAAAATATGGTAAGTTAAAATTTCTAAAACAGAGCTATATTGAACATGCAATAAACCTGGAAGAGATTTGGCATATCATCTTAAGAGAGAAATGGAAAGATCTGTAATGGGGTGAAAAAAGATAATAAAATTATATATGGGCAGGATGGGGGTGCTCTTAAAGTCATGGGGATACATGCAGCATCCATCTGCATGTATGGGCCGCCATCTTTAGTTGTTGCCGTCCATGTTGGTCAATCCTATCCCCATAGGCTAAGTTGTTATTTTTCCTAAAGTTTCTTCTATACAGAACAAGCAGGGACATCCAATGAAGTTCAGAGGACAGATATTTTTCTTCCACTCTGCAACTCTGGAAGAAAGACTACCACTCTGCGAAGAACCAGACCTGATTGAACCAGCTGTTCCATGTTATGGCACGGGGACTGATGCTGAATGCTTGGTCTGGAGCAGCCTCAGCTTCCATTCTCCCAACATTCACTCTTTGAAAAGACTGGTTTGAGGACACGATCCAATTGATCACATCAAATCCAGTGACTAACTCTCCATCCTGGTTAAAAGAAACCTTGTCCCCAGCACTGTTGTTAAACAAAACAAGCTTCACAAAATGGTGGAGCTGGAATGAAAAGGAAAGTGCTCAGAAAAATTGTGAGAGGGTCATGCAGACAAAAAGACAGAAATACTTGCACTGGATGGCTGCCATTCTTCTCCTTATTTGTCCTAGGTCCCCTTATGCTTTCAGTACTGACTTTAAGCTACAATAATTTTCTCATTGTTGTTTGATTGAATTGCTATGGAAGTTTGAGTTAATTTTTCAGAGAGTCTAGAAAAGTATTTCATGTAGGAGAGCCTAATTTAAAAGTTCAGGTACACACACACATCCTTTAGGATATTGCTTTTTCTGTAAGAAGATTGATGCTTGATCATTTAGTTCAAATAAAAAGTGAATGAGTTTCATTATTTTACATGGATTTTTTAATATACAAAGCTGTGGTTCTCTCCCACATGAGTCTATTCAATCAATTACCTGCCATTGTAGATGACTCTGAACCATAGGTCCCCCACTGGTCACCATTTCCCTGTTCTTCAGACGAGAGAAAGACGTGGCATGCAAGGCATGGGCCATCGCATGGACAGCATTATAGACATTGTAGCTGTGGCCAGTAAAACTCATTTCAAAAAATGACCCAGGAAGATGCTCCAGCTTCTCATCCCCATTGCAAATATCCCCATCTAAATTGTCCAGAAATTGATCTGGGAATGCGCAGCTGAAGGCCTGTTGCCAGAAAGACCTAATGAAACCATCTCCTTTTGGACTGGAAGGGTCTTGTGCATTAAGGAATTGTTCAAATCCTGGGACTTCATTGGATTGAATTCTGAAAGACAGTGCGCCATGGAAAAAGTCTGTGTTCCAATTCCTTTGAAAAAAAATGATGTGAGCTCCACCTGAGCTGTCACAATCTTTACTTTGCCGATTGGTGTATTTGGCCCATGTTGTTGTTCTGATAGGTATGGTAAGAATCTAAAAAATGCCATGGAATAGGATTCTCCATTGGCCACCAATACATTTGCTGTCCTGACCTGAATAGTATCACGTATCTTTGCCCCCTTCTCTGTAAAGGTGCTTATGTCCCTGCCAAGAGCAGGTGGAGGGATTTTTTCAATGAAATCAAAGCAAATACCACTCTCAGAAAACAGTGGGACCACCATCTGGAGGAATCGTTCTCCATTGTCATTATCCATAACGACTGTCCCAATCCATGTCCACCGGAAAAGCAGCAGCAAAGAGAGAATCCCTGCATACTGGAGGGACTCCCTTGGAGTCCTGTTGCAGAAGGTCAGGCCCGGGGCTTTGTAATTCATCACTGGTGCAGAGCCATATATGAACTATGGAGATACAAGAGGAGAGGGAGAAGTGCCAAATAATACAGCAATTATTTGACAGCTTTGTTGTTTTCATGTGTAACATCAGCTATATTCAAAACAATATTAAAATAGAAGTATCCAAGGTGAGTCACGGCACATGTGTGCACTTCCAATGGTGCTGGAAAAGGGATTGCCAATATAACCCCCTTTGACTTTTTTCAATATCCACAGCTCACACCTCCTGATGACCTCTCCCAGCAGTTTCATATAGATGTTAAATAGCAGAGGGGATAGAATGGAGCCTGTGGTACTCCATGGCATAGCTGCCATGGCGCAGAGACATAGTCCCCCAGCACTACCTTCTGGAATCGACCGTTGAGATAGGAACAGAACCACTGCAAAGCAGTGCCTCCAACCCCTAATCCCGCTAGCCTATCCAGAAGGATACCATGGTCGATGGTATCGAAAGCTGCCGAGAGGTCCAGAAGAAGCAACAGGGATGCACTCCCCCTGTCCTTCTCCCTGCACAGGTCATCGTACAGGGCGACCAAGGCAGATTCAGTACTGTACCCGGGTCTGAAGCCGGACTGGAAAGGATCCAGATAATCAGTTTCATCCAAGAGTGCTTGGAGTTGTCCCGCCACCACTCGCTCCTAACCTTGCCCAGAAACGGGATGTTGGCCACAGGTCTATAGTTAGTGGCCATCTCTGGATCCAGTGATGCTTTCTTCAGGACCGGTCATATTACCGCCTCCTTTAAAGGGGCAGGCACTCGACCCTCCCTCAGAGAAGCGTTAACCACTTCCAAGATCCAGGTCCCAATCCCGTGCTTGGAGTTATTTATTAACCAAGACGGGCAAGGATCCAATAGGCAAGTGGTGGGACATACTCGTCCAAGCACCTTGTCCACATCATTGGGCCGCAATAATTGAAATTCCTCCAACAATTTTGGACCAGATGGTAGCATTGGCATCTCCCCAGAGACCTCTGATTCATTAGTGGAGTCTAGCTCGTGACGAATCTGAGCGATTTTCTCCCTGAAATGCCTGGCAAAGTCGTCACAGTGGGCCTTTGAGGGTGGTATCGGATCTTTCTTAGGACCCGGGAGAACCAGGCCTTGTACCACTCAAAAAAGCTCCGCCGGACGGCATTGTGAGGAGGCAATGGAAGCTGGAAAAAACTTCTTTTGTGCCGCCTTTACCGCCACAGCATAGGCCCGATAGTGGGCTCTCAAGTGTGTTCGGTCAGATTCATCCCGTGATTTCCTCCACCTACGCTCCAGTTGTCTCCCAACCCGCTTCATCCCCCGCAATTCAGGTGTATACCAAGGGGAAGAGCGGACTCTGCCCGGTGGGAGAGGACGCTTGGGAGTGATCGTGTCCACAGCCCTGGTCATCTCTCCGTTCCACAGTTCGACCAGAGCCTCGACAGGAACACCAGTCTTGTCAGCTGGAAACTCCCCCAGGGCCTTCAGGAATCCATCCGGATCCATCCTGCTCCAGGGGCGGGCCCATACAATTGGGTCTGCCCTCTTATAGAGGGAGCGGCCGCTCTCGAGTACAAACCTCACCAGGAAGTGATCTGACCATGACAGGGGAGTCAAACATAAGTTCCTCACCCTCAGGTCATCCTCTTCCTGCCCCGTTGAGAAAACCAGGTCCAGAGTGTGTCCACGTTCATGGGTCGGGCAGCTGACTTGTTGAGACAGGCCCATGGCCTTCATAGAGGCCATGAAGTCCTGAGCCGCCCCGGTCAGTCCAGCCTCGGCATGGAGATTGAAGTCCCCCAGGACCAACATCCTAGGGGTCCTCAACACCAGGTCCAAGACGGTCTCTGTCAGCTCAGATAGGGAGACTGCTGGACAGAAGAGTGCACGGTACACCAATAGAATCCCCAATCTGTCTCGTTCGCCCAACACCAAGTAGAGGCACTCTAGCCCTGGTCTCGAAGGGACCGGAAGACCCGTGAGAGAGATGGAGGCTCGGTAAACCAATGCGACTCCCCCTCCCCTCCCTTCTGGGCGTGAACAGTGTTGAACCAGATACCCGGGCGGGCACAATTGGGAGAGGGCAACATCCCCTCCCTCTCCCACCCAGGTCTCCGTTATGCAAGCCAGGTCGGCCCCCTCATCCACAATCATGTCATGGATGAGGGAAGATTTATTATTGACTGACCTGGCATTGAGCAGCAGCACCGTCAGGCCCGAGGGGTGGTTGACAAGGCTACCTGACACCCTCTGGTTGAGGGCAGAACCAGAAGGAGAGATAGGAGTCAGCCATCTGTCCATCCTTCTTCTGCGTGGACATGTTAAGCCCCTATTGCTGTAACGATCATTGCCCATGACCACGCCAATAGCAGTGCCCGTGTGTTCCCCAGGATATACAGACGTCGACATGGCCAGGGATGACTCAAAGCACTGATTAAAGCAGGGTAAAATTATAAAGCAGTTCGAAAGAGGAGAAAAAAGAACGATAAAAAGAACAAAGAAAAAAAATCCTTCCCCTTCCCTAAGATTCAGCGGTAGGCAAGCCTATTTCAACAAGAGTCCTTGGCCAGCCCAGCCCCCCTCTTGTCCCCCGAACGGCTCCGAAACGGCGGTGACCCCTTCGGCCGCTGCCCTTCTGCTGCCGGCCCTTCGGCCGCCGGCCCCGGCCGCGGCCACTGCTTTGTGGCCGCAGGGTACCTCCGAGTCCCACCCCGTCGCGCACCACGCATTCCCGATCACCTTGGGCGGCGGGCCACGTGCTGCGGCGCCGCGTGCGCCTGCGCTGGCCGCTGGAGCTGGCTTCCGTCGACGTCATGGCCACATGCGTCTGCTTGCCTCTGCTTGCACACGCGGCGGCTCTTTCCTCCAGCGCGATGGAGCGGCGTGCTGCTGGAGGTGGGCGGAAGTCGTTCTTGCAGCGCGGGATCGGTGTTTCCTGCCCAATGGAATCTTTCCACTCACACTAAATTCCTGGAAGCGCATTAGCAGCTGTGGATGGGAGGGGAATTTCAGTCTGTTCTCCTCTCCTGCTGTGCTGTGGTCCCAGTGTAAAGTGGGAGCAGCAGAAAGCCAAATGCTGTATGGGACACAAAAGTTAAGGAGGTCTGTGTGAATGTCTGAAGCACCTATTTCTTTTGTAGCCATAAGCCTGAGAGAACCTGATAGGTTTCACAGATGAAAGCAGGCAGAGAGCATGCTCTGTGCAATGAATAGTGTATTGGAGTTTGTGCCCACCATCATACATAGTCTCAACTTTGGAGCAAGCTTTATTGAGGTAAATGGAATCAGGCTGGACTTCCTTTAAGGAATGTAGGTAGTTGCAGAACTAAAGAAAGATCCTGCTTTGAGCACATAGAAATAGAATATTAGGCCTCTGATCGGAGAGATGTACTATGACCAGAGTCCCTTCATTATGTGTTATTCATTATTCATTGATTTTTTAGAATCAGGAGAAGAATCTGTGCAGTGTTCAAGGGCAAGATCTGAAAGTCTATGTTTCAAAAGTCAGGGATCAGCCATACATCCTGAAAATTCAGAACTCAATGCATTTGGTTCATTTGAAACAACAGTGACAAATGATCACACACACACCTCTCCCTTCCCACAATATGCAGCATCTTCCACCTGGTCCCATTCAATTACACATCAATCCCTGAAGAAATCTCTTTCACATACCTGCTCTAGTTTTATCAAACTCATAAATCATCTTTGAGAGCATTTCTACCTCTGAATGACAGGTGAGCATGAAGATTTCCAGTCTATTGCTCTGATTAAAATCATAAGGTAAGGTAAACTGAAAAAAAAAGTTACAGAATCAACACCCCCAAAAACAATCTCGAAGCGAGCAAGCCGCTGCCTCGTGCACCCACCTCACTGCATGCACCCACCTGCCTGCACCTCGCCTTGCTGCACCTGCCCGTACCTCACATCACCTCACTTTGCCTCGCCGAGCACCCCGCCCCCATGCCAGCCCATATGCACCGCCGGCACCACCTTTCCGGCCTGCGCCCAGCACCAGCAGGTTTCAACTGGCCCTCTGGTGAAAAAGTTTGAGGACCCCTGCTCATGACTTTAAGAGCACCGCCATTCTGCCCAGTTGCTGCTGTGGCACAAAAACAGAAAGGGGGAAAAATGCAGAGGTGGTCCTAAAAGGCCAAATGCAGCTTTAATGTAAGATGCAAGCACCTTTGATTACAATTGTCCTAGCAGTTATAGTCTCACCATTAAGAGAATGAAACTGCTAGGATGCTCTGGAAGCTGTCACTGGCCCCCAAGCTGCAAGGTTGTTCATGCCTCCTGCAGCTCCTCTCTACTATTGGGTTGGATCATGGTGTGCCAATCTGATGATGAAGCCAATTGACAGCAAGTCAAGACAGGACCACCTTTCCACCATGATTACACTGTGATAGAAGTTCATCCGAACCTAGAATTAGATAAGCCAGTTTGAGTTTGTTGTGACAAATAGTATTACTGTAGGATTTGTAGAGGTGGTGGTGGTTGAGGAGAAAGGATGCCTTAATCTGTCAGTTTCACTTTGTCCAGTATTTGACTATTTGAAATCTTAATCATTCCATCTCAAACACAAATAACTTGGAGACTGAAATGAAATTATCACTTCTCTGTCCTACCAAAAAGAAGAAGCATGGAGTCCCGGCTTCCTGCCATATTGCTATTAGAAATGAGAAGCCTGTCAGAGAAATAAGAAAAGGCAACCTTAACTGGGACCTAGCTGGTCCTTCACACAGGGATTCAGATTTGGTGTTTTGAGATGTATGCACCAAAATCATTCACCAGGAAGCACAAAACTGACAGTTTCCATTTCTTCCACATTCAGGTTATTCTAATTGCAGCTTCTTTCCATCCCAAATGCAAAGACACTTGTTACTTTTGGTAAAACATTTTATATAATGAAACAAAAATGAATTTTCACCCATCCTCAAGTTGCCATAGGCCCTTTTGGCATTGGCTGAGGGGGCTTGTGACATCACAAAGTCCCAGCAGCCAGAAATTCTGAGGGATTGGCTGAACAACAATGAGGTCAGCAATCCTCATCCCCAGGGCTGCCCCTCCCCATTTGGACCAAGAACCTTGCTGAACAAGTGTCCCAACAGATGAACAAGGGCCCAATTGCCCACCCACCCCCCCAAGTTTTCCATCCTCCCACTCTTGCCTGGAGCACATTTTTCTGGCAATTGCCATCCATGCTTCAGGCAGTGTCTTTGTGCCTACACTATGTGTGCCAACAAATATGTTTAAATCCCTCTGCTGTTTTTCCATGAACTTGTTAAATCACACTTAAAATCACATTTAATTCAATTTTTGAAACAAACCAATGCAACACAATTGTGGTGAGTTGTATGGAAGCAATAACACAAAACAGTGTGACTAACTCAGTGACAAGCCAGTCTCAGGGAATGCCTGAGTGAACAGCTGGGTTTTCAGGGGGTGTATGAAAGAGACCCAATTTTCCACCCCTGAATAGAGGGCAGATGTGACCACTGATGAGACCAGCCCTCTAGGGGTTACTTGCTGATATTCTGATAGTCTTGGAAAGGTCAGGCATCCAGGTCTGCTCTTTTAGCACAGGGTGAACGTGGACACCACTACATGTCCCAGTGAGCATCCCAGCCAGTGCCTTCTGCACTGACTGAAGCTCCCTGACCAGGCCCAAGCACCGTCCCACATAGGATGAAAACACCAAGCAAACCCAGCTGATTTTGCTGGGGAACTTGGGAACATCCTTTTCCCATCCCATGAATGAGCTACTTGTTCCATTAGGCTGCCGCCTTCTTCTGCAGGAAACTCTCTGGGAGGGTAAGAGATTGAAGAGGGAATCCATTTGGCACAAGATGGGTTTCTTCAAGAACCAAGGGCCGTCCTACCTCAGTCCAGTGGCAGAGGGATGACACAGCCCAGGTGGAGAGGGTTTCCAAGACACACATGTTCTTAGGGACTAATAGCTTGGAAGAAGACTGAATGCCTTCACTGTTTGCCGCTACAGTGTGCACTACTGACAAGAGCAAAGAGGATCAGGGAGGGATGAAGAAGGAAACCCACAGACACAGAACGAGAAAGGGGACTCTCTTCATCTTTCCTCCATCTTTGCTGAGACCCCAAGACCAAACCATCTTTGGGTACCGACTTAGCCTGGTATCCCTCAAACGGCTCCTGAACTTTCACATCTACTGGAGCCATTAACCTTCATCAGAACAAACGTAGCACCACCACACCCTTACTTGGGCCAGCATGGTGTCTTCCATGAGTTCCCTTTCTTGGTCCACTCCTCCGTCCTTCAGCATCATTTCCCTTCTGCTTCTCTTTTCTTGACTCTAGTGTGCATCCTGCGGCAGTTGTGTGTTTCCCTTTGTGTCGTGCATGAAGCCCCGACAGAAACAGTGACTCATGAGGAGACCTTGCACTTGACACCCAGTGCCCAAGAGTCGACCCCGCAACCCAACGCAGGGACGGCCGAGCCAGCTGCTGCATCTTCCTCTGAGCCCCAGCACGTTGAGCAAACGCCTGGACCTTTATCAGAGACAGAGTCATGAGAAAGAGGAAGCTGCAAGTTCTACTCAGAAGGAGGCAGAGCAAACTGCCTCTTCCCCCCCTGATGCTGATCTCCCTGAGCCGGAAACAGAAGACAAAATAGGTGTCGTGAATTTTTCAAGAGCCCAGAACAGACATATTTTACGCAGATTTGAACAGCTGCAAAGTAGACTGCATAAGAGGGAGGAAAGGCGTGACTTGGGAGAATGGTCCCACGTGGGCTCAGAGAAAGAGAAGCCATTATAGGGCTGACATCTGCTTAGCAAGGACCGCTGTTAGGGAATTTATCTATAGAATTGTAAATCTTGTAGACAATTAGCATTAAAGGACTTCAGTTTTATTGCTCTAGAATGTGTGGAATGTATACATACCGGGCTGCACCTCACGACACTTTGCTGTGGCCATTGCCTAGGTGAGCAAGACCTCCTCCGCCATTGGCTGAGCAGGTCTGTGATGTCACAAAGGCCCAACAGTCCGAGCATCCAAGGGAGTTCGAGCCTCTGGGATTGGCTGAGCTCGTGCCATAATTTGTTTGCTTGCTTGCTTGTTAATGCAACATGTATGCTGCCCCATTAGCCGTAAG